TCAGAGAGTATTATTGAAGTTGAGCATGTTCGTTGTTATAGCGTTTGATTTAGCGTGATTGTTGAAATTAAGTGTATCGTAAAGTTATATTCGGGAAGAATAAACCAGTTTTATTAAGTAAGGACTTGTGTCGCTAAAGTTTCGTCTGAACAAATTTACGGAAAATCAATTAACAAACGGAGACGTAACACAGTGAACAGTGTTTCTAACCAAACAGATTAAGTAATCTTTCTGTTTGTAACATCAACCTGCCTCCTAACACAAGTTAAACCTAATCCACAAAAATAAATATAATCATGCAGAAATAAACCCACTTATATTTATGTAGCCAACACGATAGAAGATGTGAATGACAGGAAATAAACCCACTTATATTTATGTAGCCAACACGATAGGTAATGTGAATGACAGTGGAATTAGGCCTATAAGTACAACTGTAATTGTGGCCAAAATAGTGTAGATATTACAGTCACACTATATAACCATGTTGAATGATTTTGATAAATGGATAAAGAGATGTGAGCAACTAGGGCTAAAAGATAGTGATCTATGATGGTGAGTTAAACAACAACAAGAACTAGAGAGAGAGAATAGTGTCAATAGAGGAGATAGGAGGAGAGCCACAGAAGAGACAGAGAGAATAAGAATAAATAGAGAAGAAAATGAGAGACTGAAAATTGAGAGAATAAGAGCAAAACTGAGATTGCACAGTTCACCCATCAGAAAGTTGAAAGACCCAAGAATGACAATGGAGTCAAAACCAGTCGACCCAAACTGTCCAAATTTGATGAACAGAAAGACGACGTGGATGCTTTCTTGGAAAGATATGAAAGATTGCCCAAAGTCAGAATTGGGACACAGGGGGCTGAGCAGTCTGTATCAGCCTACTTCTCACAGGAAAAGGCCTACAAGCATATGCAGGTATGATATCAGAAAATGCCCTGGCTATGATAAGTTAAAAGTAGTGTTGTTGAAATGAACTTACTGAGGAAGGTTTTCATCAGAAGTTCAGAGAAGTCAAACCTGACACTGGAGAAACTGTATTTCAGTTTGTGGGCACATCTATGGAGATATTTCACAACATGGACTGACATGGCCAAGTGTGAAAATAGTTTTCAGGGACAGGCAGATATACTAATAAGTGAACAGTTCATGATCACATGCTCCATTGACATGTCACTGTTCCTAAATGAGAGGGCACCAAAAGATGTGAATGAGATGATTAAGTTGTCAGAACAGTATATGAAAGCCTATGGAGGGAGTATAATGGGCAAGTCCAAGAATAAGCACTTAAAGTCAAAACTAGGAGTGACTTACCAGAAGCAGGATACCACCAAAGGTGACAAGTCAACAAACAGAAGGGAAAATATATGCTATACTTGTTATAAAATGGAGCACATTGCAAGTGAGTGCAAGTCTGTCACCAACAAGCAACAGCAGAAATCTTAACAGCAGTGAGAACCAGTCTAGTATCTGATGACCAGATGACAGGTTGATTGATGTAACAGTGAGAAAGTTTCCCATGCATAGGAGACCTAGAAGCCATGTGTATGAAGGAACCCATCTATGACTTAGTGAGTGGAAATATACCAGGCAGTAGAAGTTTGTAGGAACCAGACAGAAAGAAGACTGATGAAACATCTGAAATTACAACTAGAACTCAATAAAAGAAAAGTAAGCAAGACATGAAGCCCCCTGCAAGTCTCAAAAGGTGGCATCTTGAATGTAGATCATGAGAATTGAAGGAAAGTCAGAAGAAAGATCCTTCACTGCAGAAACTTTGGGACATTGCTCGAGAGAAAGTCGAGCACAAGACAATAGGGAAAGAGACTTACAGAATAGAAAACCATAAGGGAGTGCTGTACCAGATCTATCAAGGTAGTTATACTGGGGAAATTAAACAGATCATAGTATCAACAGATTACCAGATGCAAGTGATGAAACTGACTCATGAGTCGATTTGGGAGGACACCAAGGAGCAAAGAAAATGGCAGACAGAATCACCAACAACTTTCATTGGTTGGGATCATCAGAAATGTGACCAGATTCTGCAGATCCTGTGACATCTGCCAAAGGACAATACCTCAAGGGAACGTAGTCAAAGGGGCCAATGTGTTAGATGCCTTCATAGAAGAGCCATTAGGCAGTGTAGCTGTGGGCTTGATTTGACCACTAGCACCTGTTTCTAACAAGGGCAAGTGGTATATGCTGACAGTAGTTGACTATGCAACCCAATATATAGAAGCCATAGCACTGTCAAGGAAAGAGACAGAGAGAGACAGTATCAAAAGCCCTCCTGGAAGTGTTCTTCAGAGTAGGCTTTCCAAAAGAAGTCTTGAGTGACAGAGGGACCCAATTTATCTCAGACCTGATACAAAAGGTGTGCAGATATATCAGCACTAGACAACTCTTTACACCCCAGATGTAATGGACTTTGAGAGAAAGTCAGTGGAGTCTTAAAAAGTATGCTGAAGAAGATGTACCAAGAGAGACCATGCAACTGGGACAGGTACTTGCGGGCAGTAGTATTTGCTTATCAAGAAGTTTCACAAGCACAGGATTTTCACCCTTTCAATTGCTGTACCAAAGAACAGTGTGAGGTCCAATGCAGATATTGAAAGAGCTGTGGACAGGACAAGAAGAGTCAGAAGTGAGGAACACATACAAGTATGTGTTAGACCTCAGAAACTGACTAGAGGAGACTTTGCAACTTGCTCAAGAAAGCTTGTATGCTGCACAAGGAAGTCTGAAGCACTTTTGAAATAAGAAGACCAAGGACCAACATTTCAAAGTTGGACAGGTCTAGGTTCTGCTGCCTGCAGACAACAACAAACTCACCCTGCATTGGAAAAGACCTTTTGAAGTGAAGGAAGTAGTCAGTAGAATGGACTATAAAGTGAAAGTAAATGAGGAGACCAGGATCTACCACACCAATTTGTTGAAGGGGTAATTCAACAGCAAAGAAGACCTAACGAGTGCAGCTACTGAGGCACAGATGGACATGGCAAGTGTGGCTGTCATACATGCAGAACCATAAAGCAGTGACTTTGTCACAGAAGATGAAGACCTCCTAGACTTAAGACCATTGGGTTGAGATGAGATGAGATGTACAAGATGTCAACATATGTGAATAACTGACTGGCAATCAGAAAAAAGACCTACAAGAGCTACTGTGCCAGTATGCAGATGTCTTCACAGATAGACCAGGCAAGAGAGACCTTATGCATCAGAAGATTACAACCAGGGATCCTGCCAAGTTGAAGCCCTATACGAAGGAACAAGGGAACTGCTAATGCTGGTGCAGACCATATGAGGAGACTTTGTATATGAACAAAACAGTCTTTGTACATAGTGTAAAAACATATTGTAAATATTATTCTTGAAGAGGAGCTTATTGTTAGGTATATATGGCAGTTCCTTTTGAGTTTAATACAAGAGTATTATTTAGTTTATATTGTGTGAGCAATAAAGTAAGTTATTTTCAGACGCAATAGTTATGGTAAGTTTGCTTACATCACTGTTTTCTAATCATTTATCATTGTTGTGAATTGATGTCATGTTACTCGAACCTTCTTAATTTTTCTCCTTGCTTTAAATGAGTATTGTTACATCCTAATATCTTGTAGTTTGTGGAAAGATATCAACATTTTTCTCCAAATGAAACACTAATACACTTCTCTCCTACAGTGAAGTTTAAAACCATCCTCCGCCTGTATTTTGAGAAGTCTTTGGTGATTAAATTCACCTACATTGGAACATCTATTTATTGAATTATACTGGTTAATTACAATTTTTCTGAGCTATTTAAAATCTTTATCAATATGAATGACAAAATTTCCAGAATTTTCTAGAAGATCTGGGTATTTATAAATGGTGTTTAAAGCTTTTCCCTTTCACTGTGGAAGCATAAATCATGAATTGTTAGATAATACTAACAATTACATTGTACATGAGTGTACTATACCCTACAACTTAAGTAGTACATTTAGTATCTACAAAGAATTCAAGGTAATACTGATCCATAGATTTAATGCAATTTCCTGAAATTTTTCTTAATGATAACATTTACAGTAAAAATATTATGGCTATCACTTTTATAAAAAATCAGTGTCAGGTTACTCCCTACTTCATATTACATAATACATTCAATTCCAGAAAGACAATAACATATCACATTTACAAAAATACTTTAAAGTTGTAAAACAATAATTGGTAGAGATATGACCAGAAACTGATTCTAATATGGACAAATACTCTTAAATTTGGGCATTACATGTAGTTTTATTACTTCTAAAACAGAATGGAGCAGATAACTTTTTCCTGCAACAACTTTTGACACTGTACAAGTATCACAGATGTTCTGATGGTTCCACCTATCTGGTGTCATATAAGTTGTACAAGATATGCCCCTGAAGGAATAGCACTATTACTACTTGTATTAGTAGTAATCGTAACATAGAATATGCAAAAGTGGAAAACAGACCTCTTTTAAAATATGCATAAACACACAGTCAGTGTTTAATCCAGACCTTTCCTCTGGAGGAGGGAGGGGAATAAATTAAAATTCGACAAAATGGTAAATACTGTACAGTGTACTTCAGGGGTCAGTTGTTTGCACAGTGGGCAATTCCTCCTGTACACCACCTGAATTCAATATTGTAATTTGTACGCAGTTAATAAAGTTTGGAGACGGCTTGAATGGGCAGTGAAACTGAAAGAAACTTTATTACAAATGTACAACGTTGTAACTGTAAATGTGTAATACTAATAGTTTCTTTCACTATCCATTCAAACTGTCTCCAATTTCTAAACTTTATTTTCTAAAAAGTCGGATCCTCATCATCAAACATGCAGTTGTAACTTGTAGTTGTGTTGCAAATATAATATTTATTAAAAGTTTCAAAATAAAAGAACGGCGCGTTTCAAGACACGTGTTGATATTGTTGAAAAGACCTGGTTAAGGTTAACATTACGTTAATCATTTGAACTTCATTACTTACGTTTTGAACACCATCCCAGTTAATAGTAATACAAGTAATGCTTGCATTTTATTTAATTTTAAGTAGTAAACTGAACACATCTGTTGCACGTTTTAATACTACTATTAGTATTATATATCAAATCAAATCATGTACGATACTAAGAGTAACGTCTAAAAATTAGTTCATTACACTTTATTCTTCAACTTATGCAAATTTACCTAAGCTTAAGAACACTTTATCAAAATCATTATTAATATACTCCAAGTAAATTAAAGCGTAAACCTACCTTAGCAGTTTACCCGAAAACGTGATTTCATCTAATAGCCATGTTTACCACTAGAGGATACTCAAAACTTATATTTTATTGCAAAATAATAATAATATTAAATAACATGTAATCAAATAAAGTCAATCCCGTATTTTGGTATCTATACTACGACAAACACAAAAACAAAAATATCCAATTTACGTTATTAAAACTTAACATTAAAATGTAAATATGCTAAAACTGATTAGAACTTGTATAGAACGTTATAATTGTAGTATATAAGCATATCACGTATTTTCTATCTTCTTATTTCAATATAGCATTTTATCGGAATGTTTTAGTTATTCTGGTATGTACAGTTTTCACATAATAAGTAGTCAAGAAAGTCGTTATCTTGCTTTCCATACTAGCTGCTTTTGCTATTTGCCTGATTTGCCAATGAGAGGATTAACTGTTATACTTTTCGTTGTGCAAGGATGTTGACGGCAAAGTACTTCAATGGTATATCAGGTGATGCCTCTAAACCAGTGGTTCCCAATCTTTTTTCCACCAAGGACCCCTTTTATTATCATTTTTTCCCCCACGGACCCCATGTTTTTGAAAGATTTCGCCTACCCAACAAACTGTTTTTATTAACTAATAATTAACTCGTTCTCCCACTTTTCACTATCAAATAAAAGACATATATAACTGAGTGTACAATTAAAAAACATCAGTATTAAAAAACTTACTTGTTTAATGAGATGGTATTACCTACGCGGACACCAGGTTAGGAACCACTGTTCTAAACCACGACTTTTATTACATTTGAATGATAATGTCGAATTATTGCTCTGTGTGAATTAAGTAATGTTAAGTTGAGATAATCTTAACTGATCAAGTATGGAAAGAAAACAGGTTACTATCCAGTAGAAACAGTAAAAATGACTGCTCAGCATCATAAGTAAGTGCATATATTGCGTTTATGTTAGTGATTTAATAACGATTGGTCATTTGTGTGTTACGTTATGTCCAGTCTTTTTATTTCATTCCCATGGACTTAGTAAAAATCAGACAAGTTCATTAATACTCTATGATATATATCTTGTCAAATCTCCTGTTATTCAGTGGACATATCTGATTGTTCTGAGAAAAATCAATTTTATCTCAGTGACCTGAATATACAACAGAGTGGATAGGAAAAAGAACATTTTGATGCCGTGGCCAGAATTTGAACCCAGTTATTTGGAAGTCTCTACTTTCTGCTGATGCGCATATAGCCTTTTAATCCTACTCTTGTGTTTCCAAATTTAAAAAAAGGCTTCTTTGTTATGGAAATGGTATTTCCCAAAACATGAAATAACTTACAACCAAGAGGAACAGTTGTTCACTGGAGGTAGACGGTTGTTTGAGTTATCAAGTTTAGGAGAAATCTTCTCCTGGACATTAGACATTTGCTGATTCTGCGACGATCCATGACTTCCACCTCATTGCAATTAATGACTCAGTAAGAAAAGTTGCCAGTGTTTGGTGTACCCAGAATGGCCGTTTGTACTATTCTCCTAAGGATTTATCCTAAGGATATTGTGACTCTCAAGGCAAATGAGGGCAATCTGTATAGAACTCCCAAACCTTTGTCAGCCAGAGTAACTCAAACTCAGCGCTGATTAAGCATTTCGAGAATGACCAAAAGAGATGGGATGTGTCATTGGTGGATGACGTCTGCCAGCAGGAGCTATCTTACCGACATGTCAGATAATGAGCATCAAAAGTCAGGACAATAAACCTTGGGGTCATGCTGAGTCTCTCTGAGCCAACAGGCAAACTGCCAGGAAACTGTGTATAGAAGAGGAGCCTAATGTCATACAGAGCTGATAGGTAAACCACAAAGTTCGACTACTCAAACAAGAGTTGGAGTTCCTGGCCATACTTACAATGCTGTACCTATGAGGTTGAGGACATCTTGGTCAAGTGATGACCAAGAGGTTGTGAAAGAAAGATTCTGGCCATGATCAATGGGATTCCCATTATCGTGGAAAAATGACAGATCAACCCATGACATTAAAGGGTGAAACAGGGGAAGATTTGAACCATTTTGTGAAGTGTTTCAGGCAGGTAACTGCTTGGAACAGCTAGTCTCCAGAGCAGATTGTACAATGCTTGATTTTGAATCTAGATGGTCTGGCCCTAGACTCTAGACACTTGCAACACCACTAGTAGTGATTGCAAAAACCAGTCAAGTGAATGACAGATCCTCGATTTCCAAGACTCCCAAACCATCAGTGAAATGATGTGAGGAGTTGCTTCAACATCAAAGGTCTAGCCATTATCAAAGAACTAATATGATGTGACTTAGTAGTAGCCAAAAGTAGCATTCCAGACCACTCCATTTACCATCATAATGGACTTATACACTTGGCAGAAGATCTCCACATTTAAGTGATATGGTCAGGAGATGACTGCACATTGGAAAGAAGTATGGGGCTATAACAAAAAGGAGGACTGGCTTCAGTGGAGGCCAACAATTCTGTCGAGGTTTGAAGAAGTCCATTGTTTATTTATTAAACCTGAAAACACAAAGAGAGTCCTGGCTTTGCCCAATGTACCATCTAGGCGATGACTGCTGCCAATTACTGGACAATTAATACATTGGAGGGTTTGCTTTCAGGGTTGAAGTAAGGACCAGGAAGTCATGCCTCATTCATAGTTGCTCCAGATAAGTATAAATATATATAGAGCTAATTTAATGCAAAGTAAATATATATGCATCTTTCATTTATTTGAGTGTAGTCCAGTTGAAGTATTATTGTTAAAGGATTTCTTCTTTTATAATGGATTTTGAATTTTATATTTAGAGTGTATTTTAATTGTTTGGAATTATTTTTTATGTGATTTACTGTACAGGGGTTTATTAATATGCTTGATAGGACAGCGGAAGTCACGTGACAATTAGGAGTCTCATATAAGTCACATGGGTTTATTCAACAAAAACCACTCAAATTGAACGAAAATTTTTGTACACGCCTACGCAAAAAGTCACGTGAGTTTAATATTTTTACTACAGCCTCACAAGAGTAAAAGTAGACCGTTTTTAGTTTTTGTCATTCGGATTAAAAACGGCTAAGTTAGAGAAGTAAAACTATAAGGTGAAAGGACGTGCAAATACACAAGTGTTGGTTAGGCCAATCAAACTAGATTAGCAGTTTCTAGCTCAAGTTTTTTCATTGCCAACTTTTCAGCACAAATTTACTAAATTTTATGAAATTATCCCAATAAAAGAGCGTTCAGCGTCACGTGATATTAGCTTAAGCAATTGGCATAAATAATGATGCTTGATACAGCTGTACCGATTGCATGCGGGTGATGACAAGAAACTATTAATCTAAATTCCATGGTGTTACTATAAAAGAAGCTATTAATACTGTTTTAGAGAGGAAAAACTACCACCATATATTTTAAAGAATCTGGTTGGTTCTGTAAAGTATAGGACTGTTCCGAATAATAGGGTTGCGATCCTGAAGCTAATGTTTGTTACCATGGTGTGTCACTTTCTTACTTGTTGTGGTTTGTTGGTGTGTATTGGCAAAAAGTCATGATATCTAATCAAAAACACCTTAGATGTGAAAAAAGGGTGTGGCTAAAAAAGGATTCAGCATGCGATTCAAGTTGTTTTCCATTCTAATTGCCTCTTTTTCACCCTCTTGAGGTAACACCTAGTCTGCCAATAGTAGTATGGCTGTTATGCTGCACATTGTATAAGGATGTTAACAGTAGTGTCTTTCAATGGTAGATCAGGTAAATTCTCGTTCTTCTGACCTCCTTCAAGTTTGAATGAAAATGACAGTCATGTGGGTAAAACTAATTGCTCTAGGTAAGTCTGACATTAATTTTGAATTAAGTAACGTTAGGTTTAAACAGTCATGTATAAGATCTCATTTGATAAAATTTGGAGAGAAAACTGCTTTCTATCCAGTAAAAGCAACTGTTCAGTGTCCTAAGGAAGTACACATACTACATTTGTGTTCATGATTTAAGGAAGAATGTTCATTTGTTTGTTACGTTGTGTCTAGTCAAAGTCCGAGAAATTCAAAACTACTCTGTAATAGCTATCTAGCCACATCCCTTGTTACTCAGTGGACCTATCTCATTGTTTTAATTCAAATGAATTTGTACTGAAAACATCACACCATTAATGTCTTCACTCTGATATTTTACTCCCTCTGGTAGGACAGTGGTAAGTTTATGAACTTACAATACCAACGTTAAAATCCGGGGTTCGATTCCCAGCAATGGACGCAGAAGATAATCCAATGTGGATTTGCTCTAAAACAAACAAACCGTTAATTTATATGTTTAAACCATCCCCGAAAACATATAGTTATAATCACTAAATTACAAAAGTTCATATAATATAGTTTTTTGATTGAAGATGATTTATAACATATTGCACTTTTGATTTATGAATTTTCACGTTTTTTCCAGTGAATCACAGATAAAATGTCAAACACATTTCGCTAGACATGATAGCATTGTTACGACAGCGGAAGTCACGTGACTCTAGTAACACGTCATGAGATTCTAGAAAGATCATATCGTTCGTGAAGCCTCGAGTGTTATCCAGACGCCCTCTATTTCGTATATATAAGACCGCGAGCAGTGACGGCATAGATATGAATAATTGTATAGCAGACAGAGAGATTGAAGATATAGATGGACAATTGAGTCAAGCGCGGTAATAAGTAAAGTGCGTGAATCGTTCGTTGTAAATCATATCGTGTGTTGAAGTTAAAGTGACTGTGGAAATTAAGTGTATTGCAAAGTTGAATTGAGAAAGAATGAACTAGTT